AGTATAGGTAATTATTATATAAGGCCCCCATATTAGATTCACCATCCTTCAAAGCCTTGGAGAAAAAGAGCCGACAAGCGAGAGCACAAGTGGTCAAACCGGCGAAACACGCCACGAGTCCACGAAGAAGCCGCAGAGCTCGGCAGCCCAACGCAACACCAGAGAAAGGGTGGGAAGCCGGTAAAGAGGAGCATTCACTCTTACCCTAACCCCTAAACCCTCTTGTGCCCACCTCTTGTCAAAGCCCTGAACCAGCAGATGTCCGTCCAGTAGCACGTTGTAAGTGGTGTCCAAGCCAGCAATGATCATGCCGCCAGCTTCCTTTGCACAGGATATCTGGGTTAGTGAACATCCCCGGCGGGATAAAGGAATTTTTGCGATAAGGATGCTGCTGTCTAATCTTTACAGAGGAGCCCTTTCCCATGTCTCACAGCTGGAGTGCAGGAGGCATGTGTCGGAGCAAGGCTAAAGCTACAAACGCTCCGTGAATGTGGATCGACAGACGCAAGCTCGTCCAAAGAGTTCAAGGTTTTGAGAATGAGTGGAGCGACGAGCGAAGCACTCATAGAACCGAGCCAAACTGATAGGCTGCGTGTCTACTTCAATCGTTTTGGAATTGGATGTGGTCTAGGGTTTCGGGTTTAGGCTTGAGTCTTTTTGCATGTTCCTGCGCTGACGGTCTGGGCTGTGCGACATGTGCATGCATCAGAATTTTCTCCGACGACATGCAAGCAGGACCCTGTTGCAAAACGCTCCGACCGGAACCGCCCCCTACATTTTAGCCCTATATAAAAACTAAACCCTGTATGTGAAATCCTGATCACCCCAAAAGGACTTCAAATCAAAGCGTAACCCTTGCAGCAACCCTTACGGCGATCGCAACCTACAAGCCCTTGATACCTTCCTACTGAAGTCTGTACACGGTGCCATGGTTTCGGGCCACAAGGCGGCCCATTGACCCTGAGAAGGACCCCCCTGTAACCACGAAGAACCGGCTCCCCAGCATGTAGAGCACCTGAGGAGCGATTCGGGATTAAGTTTAGGGTTCAGCATTTAGGGTATTTTTGCCTCCCGCCTGGCTAGGAGGGGTTTAGGGTTTAAGGTTTAGGGAACTTCACGTTCTGCTTGGTTGGGGTTGCGGGACGGTGCTGTGGCTGCTTAAATACACCCTAAACCCTAAACCCTAAACCCTAAACCCTAAACCCTAAACCTTAAATGTCCTGGAGTTTGCCGTCATGCACCTCCGACTCACTTCTCGTGCATCGAGCAGCGTCCGAGCTATCGCTACGTCTACTCCTAGTATGGCTATAACTAGTAAAGCTACGAAGATGATCATCTGTCTGGTGCTTAGTAGGGCATGGGGGAATGGATCCCTATGATAGTCCCTTAAGGTCCCTAGTAGTCCCTATAACCCATTCCCCCATTTCCCTACTAAGCACCAGACAGTCATGACGGTCCTTCCTAATGATTCCTCCTAGTGCAGATACTTGCACCCCTCGTGCTATTCCACCAGCTGCTCCGAAGTCTTCCCAGAGAGCCCACTACCCCTCAATTAAGGGAATATACCTTGAATTATAGGGGCCCGAATATCATGATTGAAAATATAACCCTTAATTAAGATTATAGGGGCCCTAATATCATGATTGAAGGTATAATCCTTAATTGAGGAGTATTTGGCTCTCTGGGTTCTCTGCAGCTCAGGGTACGTCCTCATCCGGAGGATTCCCGAGGCGAAAGGACACGTCTTTGGCACCCAAAAGTCGCAAATACTCGGAAACTGCTCGAAGGTACAGGCACGACTTCCTGGGTTCCCCCCCCCCCCCGGAGACCTCCCGCTGGTATTTTAAAAGGCCTAGTCTGGGGTTAAGAGATTTAAAGGGTTTACGAATTATAAGGGAGACAAAATGAAACCGCGGAAAGGTACCATTTCAGGACGCAGCTGCAGCTGAAGCGGAAGTTGAATGCTTGTATCCCTTCCTGCATGGACGGCCGAAGCTACGATCACCACATGCCGCCGACGCACAATATCCCGAGGAATGGATTTGTTGAATGATGACAGAGGCCTGACATAAACATTCCAGGTTTCAAGCTCGTTCTCGCCAGAATAGAATGGCACAGGATTCGCAAGCATTTCGTCAACCGACGCAGCCGACTCCTCAAGTACGTCTCCCAAGCGTAGGTGGATAACCAAGGCATCTTTTGGTGGCGTGTCATGGGGTCTGCTCTGGTTGAGGCTGTGGACCACTGTCTCGAAGGCTTTAAACCAGCGACGCCCCCACAGCTCTGGAGCCGTTGGGCAAAAAGCTCGCGCACGCCCAACCAAGCTGTCAGGCGGATATCGCTCCAAATTTTGGTGAACCTCGTCCATGCAGTCGGGCATGGGTAAGCACGTCCTGTGCCCACGAAAAGGGTCTGTGCAAGAGCTACGCTTGGGTTACGAAGAAGATTCAACAAGGGCTCTGGGCGGGTTTTACACTCCCAATAGAACCATTTTAGAGCACTTATGGCAACCCTTTGTAACCTAGGGTTAAGTCCTGTTGCCACAGACCATCTGCACAGCATCCATAAGATTGTAATGCTGCCAGCGCCGGTCGCCCCGCATCTGGTCCAGGACTGCACCACAGCCTTCAAAACCTGGTTGCCGACATCTCAAGAAAGGCTCATATACACCCAGCGAAGGCTGTGTAGTATTGTAGGCATACGTATAAATAAGACATACATACGTCTGTATGTATGCATTTCTACAGCAATATATATATATATATATA